TTTTGGGGGGGGGGGTTGACCCCCCAAAAATTAAGCTCAGGTGATATCCCCAACAGCATGTGGAACGTGGAACCTTACCTTCGGGCCGCCCCGGACCACCCCGGAGCCTATCTGGGCTGAGACCCCAAAGCTTTCAGCTGTTGGGGAAAAAACACACACAGCATAGACCCCAAACAAAAAGCAGGCGGATGATTGCCCACCACATCTACAAGCACCCGCCGAAGAGCGCAGCAAACAGCACCCCCCCCAAAGCACACGACCGTCAATCTCGCAAACAATGCGAGGGCACTCCTCAACAGCACCCCAAACAATGTCCCAAACAGCACCGCACCATCACCCTGAACTGCATGCCCCCAAGCACCCTGCCGTCAATCTCGCAAAAATGCCCCGCCCGCACCGTCACCAGCACCAGAAACAGCTCCCCAAATAGCACACCCTAACAGCATCTGCACCAGCACCCCAACTGCACGCCCCCTGGCACCGTCAATCTCGCAAATCACTGTCCAATCTTTATTAGATTAGAGTTAGAACCCCTGTAGTTTTCAGCCACCTGAAAAAATACAGTCACACACACACAGCACCGGGCCCCGCGCTTCACAGCCTTTCGCGCCAGCTCCCGGTGCTCCGCCTCTCGAAAACCGCAGTGGACGAAGGGCGGCGGCGGTTGAAATCGAATCCACGAATCTGTGATACACCAAGGGCGTCCCAAAGCCTAGTTTCCCATTTTTATGGGGGAGATTCCCGAAGATATCACAGTGGGGGTAAACTTCGAGTGATCCCACAACCCTGGTAGGGAATGACAACGAGACCGAGTGTTGGGAATGAACCAGAAGGGGACTTCCTAAAAAACTACCAGTTGGATGGTTTTTCTCGGGGTCATTCCAACTCATTCCGTGCTGGGAACCAGCAAGATGAAACCCAAATGGGGCAGAAACCTTGCCAACTGGTGCGAATGGGTAAAAACCATGTGTCAACCGGTGCAGCGGATTTAGGACAAGCACGCGGCGCGTCACCTGAGACAAAGTTAGTCAACCGATTGATTGCATAGGTTCACCTAAGACGCGATTTAAAAGTGATTAATTTGATTGACAAGCCCCCTTTCAGGGACCCATATGTCCACATTTGGCCCCCCAAGAGGGAACTTATGATGTTAAATTCAGAGGACCTGACAAGGGAAACGTAGGAGGTCAAACAGCAGGTTTGGCGTGCTTTGCGGAAAATAAAAACTGCTGGTCAACAAACAGACTTGGGCTTTCACAAAGGAACTGCCACGGAGAAAAAACAACTGAATCGTGCGGCAACCAACAAAGACCAGGGGCTGTCGAATGGCATACTGAGGCAGACATTTCCAACATGCTTGTCGCTGCGAGCGTCTCTCAAAGGAGGGCACGTGCAAAATAATCGAAGAGGCCAATGCCGGCTCGTGGGAAAAATTGTGGTCCCAGATTTGGAGCCCCAGCCCAACACCACCTCGTTATGTTTCATGTCTTGGCCGCCCCCCCATCTTAGACTATTCTTCCCCTTAGCTCCTTATTCCTGCTCCGTGCTTTGCCTACGCCGTAGTCGATCACAAGTTTCCACCACTGCGTGTGCGCGAATCTACGACAAGTGCGGGTGGCGCAATCTGGAAGGTGCCCCCTGGAAAAGTTGAAGGAACATCTTCAAGGAGAGAGAGAGAGAGAGAGAGAGAGAGAGAGAGAGAGAGAGAGAGAGAGAGAGAGAGAGAGAGAGAGAGAGAGAGAGAGAGAGAGAGAGAGAGAGCGAGAGAGACAAAGAAAAAAAAAGTCCACCATCCCCACCTTCAGGAGGGTGGGGGTCCCCCAATTCCATTTCTCCAGTCTTCCCCTTAAGCAAAATGGAACCACACATGGAATTCCAAGGATCACCCTCCGTGCCCCTGGCCTCAAAGGCGTGCACAAAGTACAGGTCCTGGCTCACCTGCCGCACGAGCCAAAGAGCCGGCCCCAGATGGGGAGGGGGACCCCCCCCCCCCATATTGACCTATCAAATGGAGCCCCACCCAGAGCGCCGCAAAAGCCTCTGTGTTGATGGTGCGCGACCGGAATGCGGAACCGGGATTGAATGTGGCGGTTGGTGCTTGCAAGGACAAATGAACTGCGCAATACCTTCGCTGGAAGTTTTTGCGGGGTACCCCAGCATCCCCCAGTTTGCCATCCGCGAAACCTTGTGAAAGAGACACTCCCTATTGATCAACCAGGGCCCAGGGAAATGCGTAAAGGAGACGGGGATACATGTCTCCCGATTCACAGGATGGGGCTCGCGCTTGCTCTTTGCACCTACCTTTCGCCACAATCTAAAGAGGGGTTCCCCCAAACCATTTCCAGCAGGGGGGACTGGAAAGAGTATATATGTATATATATATAATATCATTATGTATATATATATATATATACATATATATATATATATATATATATATATCTGTGCGTGTGTGCATGACATTTATATATACGTATATGTAAACAATATCTCAATATACCCTAACTTTTGGGTCATAAACCTAGGTGCCAGCAACACCGGTTTGGAAGCAGTGGACACCCCCCTCCAGACACAAGTTCTTACTTCTCGCCCGCCTGGCTCACTGTAAGCAGCCCCTTCACCAGCGCCTTACTCGACAACGCGATGCGCGTTAGGTGGAAGAGAAGAGCAAACCCCCGAACTGCAGTGGAAAACCATCCTGTGGTCCAAAATCACTTTCTGTGATACTCATATATGTTTAGATATGGTCCCGGGCTCCGGGTTCCCAGTCCCCCTCCCCCCCAATGGTATCCTGCTGCTGCGGTCCGCACCCAAACTCACCCTAAACTAACCCTAAACCAACCCTAAATTAGCTCGAAACACACATCTTTAAACCAACACTTGACACGTTCTAAAAACTCTAAACCAATCCGGAACGAACTTAATCAACCCTAAACCAACCGTAAACCAATCTTAAATTTCACCAACCCCTAAGCACATCTTAAACCAACACTAAACACGCTCTAAACCACCCCGAAACTAACCTAAACCACCCCTGCACCAAGGATTAAAAAAATGTATCCCAAACCAACACTAAATACACTCTAACCCAACCATAAACCCACCTAAAACCAACCCTAAACACATAATTTAAACAAACACTAAACACACTCTAAACCAAACCATCCTAAACCACTACAACTAGATCAACCCTAAACCAAGTCTAAACCACTACAACCCCACCACAGGGGGGGGAGGGGTGGTCTTAGACCAACCATAAAACAACATAAACAAACCAACCCTGAACCACACCCCAACCACACCCCAACCACACCCCAACCACACCACAAGAATTAGGCAGAACTGGGAACCATGGGGGGGGGGAGGGGGTGGGGGTCCCATGACGTGTCCACCTTACAGGGGGTTGCGAACCCTTGGCCCAGAAGGCCCTAAAAATCGGTCGCACTGGGACTCCGGGAGCCGATGACTGTAAGATGACGAACTCTTTAGGGGGATGGTTGCGGGAACCAACTGGAACACCGCTATCCTACTCACCCTTCGCACTTGGTTTTCAAAACTTTCGGGGGCCTGATTAAAAGGGAGCGAAAGAGAAAACCGCAATTCTAGGTTTGAAGGGGCCCCTTGCTTCAAGACACACGCCTGCAAACTCTTCCGCCTCGCTCCTTTTCCAGACGTGCAGCCTCCCGCACGCAAAATCTCTGCAGCGGCCGGCAAGGTGTGAACTGACGAGATGTCAGCAGTCACTCGGTGGGTGATACATGGGCCTTTGGACGTTTGAGAAAAATCATGAAATACAAGGAATCAGGCTAAGTAGTAAGTGGCAGGTTGATGGGCAACAACCGTTGTTTCCCGTGGTAACCCCCAGAAACAGTTGAAGTGAAAATAGTAGCTGGGGTTTCATATCAGGCAGTTTACGCATACAAGTGCGTTCAGCCTATCTGACCCTAGTAGCACCCAAAGATACCGCGATGTCTCAGACATCGCGCGGCCGCCCATTCCTCACGCGCCTCAGCTAGCACACATGGCACGCTCTGGACTCGTAGCCTTTTCGCTTGTTTTTTTTCTGGAAGGAACCCCAAAACCAGATGCATCTAGCGACGGTGGCTTTTTTGGTTCTGCGCAAGGCCACCTCAAGGGGCGGGGGGGGGGGGGGGCGGGGGGATGGGCACCACCCTTGAACCCAGACAGAGTTTCCCCCCAACAGGGCGAGGTACTCACCTGCACTGCCGCGAAGGAACTCTCCAACCCTCCTGGCCGACTCACTGACACAGTGGACACTGGGGTTTGAAAATCTGCGATGCCAAAGTGCAATTCCCATCCCTTTGCTTACATTGCGTATGTCACTTAGAAAATTCCCTTGGCCACACGGAAATGTGTGTCTGCGTGTGCGTTTTTTAAAGGAATTAAGAGGGTTCCCTATTAGGTCTCCTTTGGACCTGGCAGATTATGCAACAGCCACGTCAACCAGGGCTATCTATTTTCTAACAAAACAACAACCAAAAAAAGGACACCTGAGAATTTTGACACATGCCCAGATGTTGCAACCAAAAACTCCACTGCCCAAAACCGCCCAGCCAAACCCAACCGCCTGGCCCGCGTCAATCGTTCGCGTCCAGGTCGATTATCTCCAAACTCCCGCAGCTCGAGGTTTCCTGAGATGATTCCGCCGGAGCAGCCGGAGCAGCCATTAGTGGTTTGTTTTCCTGTGGTTCTGCCTCCCTTCGAGGAAGGGTTTTTCTGTTTTGCTCCTTGGTCAAGACACTACTCGGAAGAAGGGTTTCCCAGGTTTCGCTAGGATCACAAAAACTTCCCGGCGGACCGAAATCCGCGCTCGCGTTTTGCCGCTTTTCTGAAAAACGTGCGTTTCACCCCAGCGAAACGCACATTGAGTCCCCCAAAAACCTCAGTTTTAGAGGCGTTTTGCGTTTCGCTAGGGCGAAACGCAAATTGTATCGCCCATTCCCTGCCTTCTCCTTTTTCACATCTTTGCGATCGCTACAACAGTTTGCTACTCCACATCCCGCTGGCGCAAGACGTAGCGCCACTGCCAAGACTTTACGTGCAAGAAAACATGCGGGCTGCACGAAGTCAGCGAATACAGGATATGCTTTGCAGCTTGACCAGGTAGAGTCTATCGTGCCAGTGTGGACGACCTTTTTCGCGTCCGCGAGAACAATCTGTGGTCAGGCCTGCTATAACGAAGCAGTCGAGCGGGTGCGCTTACCGTGGTCAGGCGTGCGCGCAGTGTTATAACGCAGCAGTCGGGCGGGCGCAGTGTTAGAACGCAGCTGTCGGGCGGGTGCTATTGCCATGGTCAGGCGTGCGCGCAGTGTCTTAACGCAGCAGTTGGGCGGGCGCGCTTACCATGGCCAGGCGCGCGCGCAGTGTTAGAAGGCAGCAGTCGGGCGGGCGCGCTTACCATGGTCAGCCGCGCGCAGTGTTGTAGCGCAGCAGTCGGGCGGGCGCGCTTACCATGGTCAAGCGTGCACACAGTGTTATAACGAAGCAGTCGGGCGGGTGTGCTTGCCATGGCCAGGTGTGCGCGCAGTGTTGTGACGAAGCACTTACCATGGTCCTGCTTTAACGAGGCAGTCGGGCGGGTGCGGTTATCATGGTCAGGCGTGCGCGCAGTGCCAAGGCAAAGCAGTGGTGCGCGCGTGCTATGCAGGGCTGAAAAAAATGTGTGCACGCCGTTGAGCGCGGTTTCTGGTCCACCCGCAAAAACTTGCAAAGGAACATGACTGTTGCCCATGCGCTTTCTGGAACTCTGGTTTTCAAGGCCCTCAGAACGTCTCCAAAATTACACGTCAAACTTACCATATGCGCTGGTTATTCCACCTAAAAGAAAAACGGCCGAGAAGGCATGCACCCAAAGCAACGAAGTACGCAGTACCTTATGCTCTTGCCGCCAACCCAATCCAAGGCACGATGTCGAGGCTGCAGAAGACCTGCCCGGATCAGGTCAAAGCGGCCTCTGTCCATAGACAAAATCCCCTTTGGCATTAGCGCAGCATTTCCTTCATTCATCACTACGGGTACTTTCTTCTCCCCAATCACCGCGGCTCATGGCTTTACGAGGAGCATTCATCATGGTATGAATGTTGAATGAAAAATTGGGACCCTGCGGGCGTCCGAAATACATGGGGATTGATGTCTAGCCGTTTTGGGGGAAGAGCCAGCTGCGCACCAGCCTCCTCCAGCATCTCATTCGCCACGTCCTCAAGAAGCCTCAAAGTGCCAAAGTGGTTGACCTTCCCATTTCTTTCGTTCAGGATCTAAAGAGAGGTCTATAGCTCTTGCGCCCAACCCCACGGCGTTCACCCCACACACGTGCGTCCAAGCAACGAGGCATTGCCCGGCTCGTCCACCTGCAGCACTCGGAACACCACCTCAGGGCAGGCAGTTTGTCTGATGCAGGCAGCGCATGTCCATGAGGAACGAGGGCTGCTGGCCCACGACATTTTCTCCAACATGAGGATGCCCTCCACAACAAGCCAACATCAAGGTGACATGTTTGTTCGCCAAGCTGAACTGAGGAACAGCAGGGACTCCAATGATGACATCCAATTTCCCCTTCGCGCTGTCGACGCTCTGCTTTCCCAGGCGACCATCAGAGGGGTCGTAAACTCCAGCTTGATTCTGTAACACTTTTTGACCCCTCCAAAATCCACCTGGTTCCACTCAAGTCCGGGGAACTAAATCACGGCGCACAACGACTCTCGCTGAGGCGGGCACTGACCGCGCCGCCGACCCCACCTCACGGGGCTGGGAATTCGGCGCGCAGGAGCACCTCCCCCAACATTACGCCTAGCAGGTTTCTTGTCGGTGCTGGGCCACCAGCCACCCGACCTAGCGGATAGGCATCCACAGGACCTTCATGAGCTCGTGTCACCCCAACCGGTGAGCTCGCTGGAAAAACGGAACAGATTCCCTAGGCCGCCTCAGTTTGGTTGTAAACTATTTTGGGGTTGACTTTCAATGCGAAACCCTATCCCGAAACAAACCACATATCCCCATTCAAGAGATCGATCCTCTCCCCAAACCATTCGCCGAATTCACCGGACGGAGATTTCTGGGCCCAGGGCCGCCCCATCCAATCCCACTTCCCGCCTCTGAGCTGGCGGAGGAGTCCCACTGCACGGAGGCTTCCGAGGCCGAGGGGGACGAGGGCGTTGGCCTGCGGAGAGGCGGCCGAGCCCTCGCCCGAACGGGGAGGAATCGGCTGCCTCCACTTGAACGATGTCAATGGAATGAGGTTGATTTCATGTGGTTTCGAACAACCGAGTTCCTTCTGAATATGGGGGGCTCAAGCAGATGTCCAACCTAAAAGCACGACCTTTTCGAACTTGCGAGTTTGATTTTGCAAGCCACCAACAGGTTGACTATGTATCTTTGTCTGTCTCTCTATTTCTGCATATCTATGTTTGTACTGGGCCCCTGTAACATCTGAAACATATTCCTAGTTTCAGTCCGTCGGGACCGGTGGGTCAGATCCGACGATTCGCCCTTCAGAACTGGGGGAGGGCTTCACCTGTACCCGAGGCGCAGGCAAGCACGACTCCAAGGGATGCTCCAAACAAAATTCGGCCGAAAGAAAAATAGGGCTTTTGGTGGAGCTGCCCAACACAACGCCTCCACATGCTGCAACACATCACCTGGCCACGAGCCCCAGAGCCTGCGGGCCGATGCGCTGGAACCTGAAAGCTGAACAGCAAGCGGCAAAAAGCCGCCAAAAGAACTACGCAATCAAAAGAACTAGGCCAAACATGTTTTGAACATCACCCGAAAAAAGAGGAAATACAAGGACGCCTGAAGAATGTTGCTTGTTTCACTCTATGGAAGCGGGTAGGGAAACACCGGTGGAACACTCAAGGGAACCAGCAGAACAACACCAAAACTAGGCAGGGAAAGCAAGAAAACAAAGGTTCAAGGAGGGCTCCAGAAGGATTTGGCAGCTCATCACTGCAACCTGTCCATTTCATTCAGACGGCCTCAAAAATTACTCCCGTGGTGGTTTATCAGGGGCCTAGCCTAAGGACAAGTGCTGCCAAGCTGCAAGCATCCTCTGCCTGCCGCTGGGGAGAGACTGGGAGGATGAAGGGGGGGGCCAGGCTGCTAATGGGGTGGGCCGTGAGGGTTGTTCCTGGTTTCATTTTAAGCGGTTGAGGACCCTGTGCTGGGTCGCTGGGCAGAAGCCCCTGCAACACCTGAACCGTGAGTGGCGTCAAACAACCCCAGGACGCGAGCAATCAAAGACAACCCCCGGTAATGCACCCTCAGCCTCTTCAAAACCCTTTCACTTAGCCCCTTATAAACTCTAGCAACCCAAATTTTCCCGCAGTCACCCGCACTAAGACCGCGCAACCCCAAGAAAGACCGTTTCCCAGCACCAAAGACAAAGGTATGCCTTCGTGGGTGCTCCCTGAGCCACGCTTCTTGGCTCACCACTAGGCCGAATGGCATTTGCCGATTTCGGCGTACCTTTGTGATTGGAAGGAAAACAGCTCGAGTCATTTGGAGAATCGCTGGGACATGTGTCGTTTTTTCAGTTGGATGGAAGCAGATGGAACTCCGCATGGTTCACTTACCAAATGAAGGGAGTTACGCCATCTACTGTCTCTGGGGTCATGGACCACGCAAAACGTCACCCAAACAACCCGCTCCACTTCAGCCCGACCTGCCTCCATGCTCAGCTCAGGCTGCTGTTCAGCCTGCTTGGACGGGCTTGGATGAGTCGCACCTCTAAACATCACCCCAAAATGGCCCTCAAAAGTGTTGAAACCACCAGGGAAGTCTAGGAACCTTGGAAAACGAGACCATGTCTGTTGGCATTTCAACGGAAGATCGTCAGCACGAAGCCAGTGGAGGCTTCACATCCCAGTTTTCACACACGTGCAAAAAAACACCAATATAGCCGAGGACACCCTGGAGGTTCACAAACTAGTGGCCCCTTTTGGGGCCCTTTCTGGTGGTTGCCAAACCTCATCCATCTGGACAAGTTACGCACTAATCCCCTAGAATAGGACCTTTACGGTGGGTGAGCTCGTTTTACACCTATTATGCAACCCGATCGTTCTCGACAGTCGATTTGATTTTTTGTTTTTTTCTTCAATCATTGACAAACCCCAACGACCCACCCCCATGGCTTCAATTAGAAAAACACGGGTTCGACACAATACATACCAACCAAAACAAGACGCTCGTTCTGGAGGGGGTCCCCTTCCGTGGGCCCCCAGACGTCCAAGGCCGCACGCTTCCACGTCCGCGGTCGGAAACGCTTCGCGCCTCGGAGGCCCGCGGCGCGCCGGGCGCGCCGGGCGCGTGGGCCTCGTAGCGCTCCGCCGCTGCTCTGAGGGCCGCGGCCACCTGGCAACCGCGACGCGCGAAAAAAGGGAGCGGAGTGGGCACTGGAACCAGCATCCCCATCCCCAACAGCTTGGGCACCAAGAGCATCCGCAACATCCCCAGCAGCCCCACTGGAAGCAAACAAAAAATCAGGCCCATCCCCTTCGGCCACTTTCAGAACATTTTTGGTTGGATCAGCTTGCAGCCGCTCCAGCCCACTCCAGAGCCCACCTGGGCAAAGAACCTGAAGGTGTCAGCGGTTGGACACACCTACATTAAGTATCTTCCTACGTTAAATCCTTTGACATTTGATACTTTTGTACCTGATTTGTCTCTTCAAGTCAAGTTAGCCGCAGGTGTTGCCAGCTTTAAGCCTTAAACCAAACTGAACCACGCAAGGACCGAAAGAACCACAAGTGAAGGCAACGCGCCTTGCGTCGAGCCTCCTCAAAGTCCAGGGGCCCCGCCGGTTGCTCCACCAGCTCCTGGCGAAAATGGGATCCTGTCAAAACCTCAGTTTCTGAGCAGACAGGCCAAAAGGCCACCAATCAAAAAGTGGAATGCCCGGAAAGTGCGCGACAAATGGCCGACAACTTGTGTTCTTCCCCAATGGTCGGAAAGCCCAAAGCTAGGCAGGAGCCCAGTGAGAAATGAGCCAACGAGGCCGGAAATGACCGCTTCGGATCCCCAGGACCCACAGTGGCCTTCGTCACCCAAGGGAAGCGGTAACTAAACCCCAGACTTGCCAAAGGCAAACACCACACGCGTGATCCAGCCAAGATCTCCTGCCCGGCCGTGACGGGGGATAAACGCCATGCACGGCTTTTCCGGGATTTGGCAAAACGACAAAACGACATCCAACAGTGGCCTGCGCACTTCCATGGCTCGAGGCCAACCGACATTCGCCGTTGACGCAAACTTCTGGGTTCAAGCGGGGGAAGCCCAAACAATGGACGAAGCTGGTCAATGTTGGGCACACAGAGGCTGGCTTGGGGCTACTGAAATCACAGCATCTTTCTGCAATGTTCTCGCTTGCTTGCCCCAGAAAGGGCCTGGCAATTTGCAAGGTGATCACCTGAAACGGGTGACGAAACGTTGGAACCCAAAATAGGAACACCACAAAAGGGCCCACGCAAAGCCATGTTTCCGAGCCGGGGGTGGGGAGAGGTGGGAGGGACCCACCACAAGGTCAGATCCGGATTCGCCTCATGAGGCGCGGCTTCCGGCGCATTGAGCGCCGCAACCCTCAAGCTCTCAGCCACCTCGGAAGCCAATCGGCAGGGGGCTCAGCAGAAGGGAACCGGTTTCTGGCTCTGGCCTGCCTTTGTTTGTTTGCTTTTTTGGGTGGGGGTGGGGGGGTAGGAAGGGTGGGGGGGGGGGAGGGGTAGGAGAGTCCCAATGTATCTCCTCAAGTTCAGGACCCGCCTTCGCCGAGTTTCGTGTTGGGCATGAGCTTGGCACACCCTCCCGATCCAAGCTCTCCAAACGACTGATCCTCGGTCTCTGTTGGCCTCCTAGCCCCAAGGGAAATGCTATCACAATTGGCAACAGCAAGGTCAGTGTCAAACCGACAAAGGCTCATAAATATGGTCTCTCTGCTTGAGGGGTCCCTATTTGGGACACGGGCAACCGCAAATAAATCCAGGCATTTGAGGACTCCCTTTCTCCAATACTGATTCAGGTTGGTCCTTCCCTAGATATTACGCGCTGCGATGGGAGCCCCTGCCTCTGCTTTGAGCTGTCCTTTCAAGTGGCTGCTTCCGAGGAAAGCCAACATTCCGAAAACCAAACCCTTTCCACGAGGTCGACCATTTCAATCACTTCGGTATGTGACCCGTCGGGTATGAACTTCAACTGTGGATCCTGTGGACATCACTTACATACGATTGTATGTCCTGGGCTTCCAGCAATTCTGAAGTTCGCAGCCATACAGGCTTCTCGTTGAATGAGGGAGCCCAACCGAAATTCTTTCAAAAAAAAACAGTTACCTCCCCCTCCGAAATCCGCACCATCCTGCCAGTCCCCCTTAACTTGGCAAGACGCAGACCCCTGCAAGAAAGCTTGCTGGTTGAATCCGAAAAAAGGACTATGGTCCGTCAGTGTGCTGAGAAATTTCATGAAGCAAGAAATCGGACCCTCGAGAGCAGCGAGGGGCACCCGAAGTGTGAATGCCGTGGCCTCGATGCTAGAAAGGAATTCCAATATCCATGTCTTCTGACAGCTGTTTTGGGGCTGGAGCCCGATTCAGCTAAGTTGGATCTCATTTTTAAGTTGGGGGGCGGGAGCGGCGGGGGGAGCATTGTATGACAAGAATCCACTTGAGACTCTGGATTGACACCATTTTTATTATCCCCCATCAACGTTTAAGAAATATTCCAGACCCTGGTCAAAACACGTAGTTTTCTTAACATACCCATCGACCTTTCCGAAAATGAAAAAAGGTGATCAGCCTTTGGGCCTGACTAGATCAGAAAACCAAAACTGAAGGGTCGAAAGGTCAGCTGAGGGGGCTTTGTGGACCCACCAAGCCCGGAAGAAACCTTCGTTCTTCGGGGTCCGGGGTCCCTGGCCATTTGGCGGGCTGCATCGAAGGCTGCGGCTTCCGCCTGCATCGCCAGCGCCGACTTGTTGCTTGCTGGTTCTTAGCAGAGAACCAGGGAATGAACCCCATAAACCATCCTTGGTCTTTCCTTTAAGGGATGATTCCCTGGTAATGCTATCACCGCACAACCAGGTCGCACGACCTGTCCCGTGGATACCTGGCTCTCAGTCCGCTTCCCTCAAAATGGATGGTTTGGAGCCCGGTTGGGAGGCGTTCCGAATCCTCAAGAACCAGGGTGATCCTCAAGACAAGCCAATCCACCAAGTCAAATTAGGAATTCCCTGGGGCCGGGAATGAGTTGGGATGACCCCAAAGTGAACTATGCAAACGGTGACCGGTGGCTTCCATCCAGGATCCCAAACACCGAAGGTTCCTTGGCCCGTGAAAGCGGATGGAGTTCCCCAGTGGGTGTTCCCAGGCCCCAAGGCGGGCCTGCAGAATGCCGTGGGTTTCTTTGTGGTTCCAGGTATCCCTTTCAAGAAGCTGGGGTCCCATTGGGTGAACACCGGCTTCCCAGATGAACTCACCAAAGGCATGCTGAGTCCTGAAAGATGTCGGGGAAAGGATGGCCTGTGTGGATTCCACGAAGAAAACCCAGTTTGCAACCAGCGACCCACGCCACTAAAACCTGCTTGCCTTCGAGCAGAATGGGATTGGCGATTGCTTCCGGAAAGCCACGGGCCACAAATCCCGACCACAACCCGTGCCCGAGCCACCGGGCAAGAAAAGAACAATGCAAAATGCAAAGCGGTCTTTGCATCACACCAGCAGCCAACACCACCGGTGGTCATTCGGATTGCTAGCCCCTTCTGAAACCAATGGCTAAACAACCTCTTACCGCCCCGAAACGTAAGGGGCTGAATAGGTACCCCCCATTCTAAAGCTCCCAACCACCTCAAAGCCCCACCAGTTGATCCCGCCCCTGCCCGCCGAGCGGCCTTTGCCTTGGTCGAGCGCTCCTGTCCAAAACGCCGAATCCACCCCACAACGCTGATTGCACTGTATAAGCCCATGTCATAGAAATCAGCTACAGGCAGCACTCACCGTTCGATGCTGATTGCACACGGCGATGTATAAGCCCATGTCAGAGAAATCAGCCACAGGAAGTTCTACTGTATAGTTAGGCTTTAGACAAATCAACTGCCAAGCGCACTTCTATGGGTTGCATTCAGCCTTCGAGCCCCGGGGACCGGGGATCATGGACAATCCGCCTGCACAACGGAAACTTCCCCGAGGGAGTTCTTGAAGCGGGGTGTCGCCAACCTTCTTTGAGGGAACTTCCCCATCAAGGTTCGCAGCCAATCATTTTTTGGTATGCGCTCAAAATAGAGGGCACCCCACCGTTTCGTTTCCCTTTAAACCAACCTCAAAGGGGTACCAGTCCAAAAAAACACGCACCCATACCCAATTACACATGCCAGTTTTCTCCCACAATAGGCGTACCCCCACCCAAAAAAAAATGAAAATAAAAAAAAAATAAAAAAACATGTGTAAAGCTTGCCTTCCCTCTGTTCACCAACCCAAGCGCGACTCCGAGCAAACAAAAATCGAGGAGCCACACCCGGACCTCCACGTTTCCCCGTAAAAAGCCCACATCGCACCCGTCCCCGACTGCCTGGTCCCCGCCCGGTCCCCCGCCCGACGCGACCGACCGACCGCCTCGCCCGCGGGCGCGCCTTGAGCGCCTTCAGGGAGGACCGGCGCCGGCCGCCGAGGTGGGCCCTGAGGCGCCCGTCCACCGTGGCCTTCCACAGGCCCCGGGCCACCTGACGTACGGGGTCGAACCCGGCGAACCCGGCGAACCCGTCGAACCCCGGGCTGTGGGGGGTGGGGCCAAAGGGCCGCTGAAAAAGATGGGAGCCTCAAAAAAGGTGGGCGGAACCAAGGAACAAAGGAACAAAGGGATACAGGTTGGTAGCCCTCGAGGAGGGAAAAAATGGCAAACGCACTTTGGTGGGAACCAAGGAACCCACATGCAGCTTCTCCTTTGGTGACTTGGATTGGTGGTTTCGGGGATTAAACTCCCAATGTTCTGGAGGGCGAATAGCAACTATGTCCCAGCCTCCAAAGTGTCTTTTTTGAGGGGCTTTGGTGGTAAAGAAGAAAAGAAAACAGGAACCCATACAAACAAACACACCCAAATGGACATGAGCTTCCAAAACTGGTTCAGGTTCATTGCGGAACGTCGCCCACACGCGTCTGCCGGATCAGGGCTTTTGGGAGAGGATGATCTACGCACGTCGGAGTCTTGTTTCAAGTTTCTAGGGGGTGCTTTTCCATTCCTTCCCTCACTTCCTGAGTGGCCTGGCCCCGGAAAAAATCCCCAAACTTCTTGTTTCCCTCTAGAATGGCCCAAGCCCAAAAAGTGTGAACAGTTCAGGAACTCGGCAAGTGAGTTCCCGCCTTTCCGTTCTCCTTCTCAGTTGTTCAATGACCCTGGAGAAAACAAATTGGAACCCTTTTCGGGGAAGACCATTTTTTTAGTGGCGGCAGCCACCCAAAAAAAGGTTGGACAAAGAATCGGCGCACTGGTTGCAACTGAGCCTTAGCCGCTTGGCTCGGACAAACCCCCGCCTTCTGCCGCAGCTCGGAGGCCTCCTCGAGCGGAGGCGACGCCTGGCGACGGAACCGGTGGTTCACGTCGAAACGGGCGTCGGCTCCCCGCGGATGGTTTTTCCCCGAGCAAAAAAAAGAGAGAGGCATGCTCGAAAAGAAGGAAAGGTCAAACCTCTATGATGGAACACTGGCTTTGCTTTGTGACACTTGTGATTTGGATTGCTGTGAGGGTATCATGGGTCACTGTTAGCCTGTTGGCTTTGGATTCAGGCGGGGCGTACCTTGTTCAGGAGTGATTCCCCTGGCAGTGAACTACTTCATGTTAGGGGAATTCCTCTGAATAGTATGGTTCCCAGACGACGGATCCAAGGTTAGCACCAGCTGAGGATGAAACTGGAACACGACCCATGGACTAAGAGATCCTGTTTGACGCGGCCTAGCTCCAATCATGGGAGGTGCCACCCCAAGTTCAACGGAACCCCATCCCCCAAATCGCGCCTTGGGTTCGTCCAAGAGCTGCGCCAAGGACCGGTCCACCGCCTCAGTGATCTGCGTGCGCAGCGCGGGGTCCGCCAGTAGGCCCTGCAGCACTTCCTCCAGGACCCCCATGAAGTTGTCCCCTCAGCTCATCCGTTTGGCATCTCCATACGTTCGCTGAAAGCCGCGGCACGCGGGTGCCGATATCCAGCCTTTGGAGTCTTTAGCATTTTGCATGGGGGGTACCAGGTTTCTACGCTAACTCATTGGGGTGCTTCTCCACATTGGAACTGGGCCCACTTCAAATGGTTGGTTTCTTTTCTGGCTTCAAACAGCAGCGATTCGTGCCCGTTTGAGCAAGGGGCTGGGCCCAGCTGATTTAACACTAAACGCACTTGATCATTCCCCCCGGAAAAAGAGTGCTGCTTGTTTTGGCAAAATCTACCAGTTAAAAACAGGGAACAATATAATATGCACAAGTTACTAAGGCGAACTCTGTGGCCCACGCAAACGCCAGTGGCTGTTCAAATGTCCACTTTGGAAGAATGAGTAGTTTCTGAATCCGGGAGCAGGAGCGGCCTTGGCAGTGCAGGTTTCTTTCCGGGAACTCCAGGATTCCCACGAAGAGAGCCTTCATGGGAAATCTGGGTTCTGCCTTTAGACATGCTCGCCAACAATTGTGCACGAGTATCGATCCAAGCGACCTGTACTTGAACATCATCCATATAAAGTCATGCACTTCTGTGCTTGCATGATGCGCACAAATTTGCGGCGCACATTTGTCGTTCCCACGGGTGTCCCATCTTGCTGCCAAATGCCACCACGGCAAAACATTAAAACACACTTACCGCGTTACCGCGCAACTTCGGGTTGCCTCCTTTCTTCTGAACTCCTTTCACCAAGGTGCTGAGGCTGTTCCCCCGCGCCACTAGCGGCGCTTGTGGCGGCGCCTCGGGCGCCGCTTGTGGCGCCGCCGCTTGCGGCGGCATTTCGGGCGCCGCCTCGGCGCGATCCTCGGCCTCGGCCTCGGCGGCAGCCTCGGCCGCCTCCGCGACGTCGTCGGGAGGCGCCGGGGAGGCAGCGCTCTCCGGCAGCGAGCGGCGTTTGGGCGAACGTGGTGAAGGCACCTGGCACAGGCAAGACAGGTGGATGGTCTGGATTGGTCGTGTGGATTTAGGGCTGATTTCCCATTCATCATCTACCTTTCAGGGGTCATTCTACGTTGTCCCTTCCAAAGTTTTAAACTGCGAGCCAGACCTCCCCTCCTTTCACGGCTCCATCCAACTGGGGCCGGCGCGTAGGCGCGGGGCGCCGACGTCAGGGCGGGCTCCACTCGCGGCGGGGACATCCGCCAGCCGGCACCTCGAGTTGGCTCGCGCCGTTCGTCAGAAGATTTCTGCATTTTGGTACTGCCTGGATCGCCAATTGCTGCTTTCTTTTTTCCATGCAGTTTACCAAAAACCAGCAACAGTGACTGAAAAAAACAGCAACTTGGCTATCTAGGTGGTTTCCATCCGGCGATTTCCCGGAACAATCTCTGACTAGGGGATCCCCCAAAATGGAAACCCAAGAAGGGGCCAGAGATCCCGATTTCAAAAATGGAGGGTGTTTGCGGTCCATGTCCGACTGCAGGGGAGCAAATACCGGTTTCCATATTCCGGCGATTTCCTGTTTTTCCGTGTCCCCCTGGATAGATCTCTGATTAGGGCATCTCCTCCCTTTTCTTTGGAGGGGGGGCAATGTTAGCCCCATTCATTCGGACTGTCAGGGGTGGCTCCCCTAGTAAGGCAATGATCCATTTTTGAGGGGGGCCCACTGACTGGCAAGGTCCTCCGGTCGTTTCCGAAGTTCACGTTTCCCCCACAAACCCCGCGGGATCACGGGCACAGGTGTCGGTTTCGAGCCCGGGTGCCGTAGACACTGGACCCGGCTTCGCCGGGGGCGGGCCGCACAACACGCTCCTAACCAAAGCTGGTGAATGCCGTGGAAAAATGGGTTGATCAATATTCCTGGCCCCCTATTGACCATGAATAACTGTTCCCATTTGGTGGGAAACATCAACGTTCTAGTGGGTTCCTCCAATGATCATACCAGGTAAAGGACCTTTTGATCCACCCCAAATGGAAAGATGGTACAATTCCAACTCCCCTTTTTGTAGCTCGTCATCCCCTTGCTTACCTGCATCTACTGGGAATTGTGCCATCTACTTTCACACTGGTGTAAAGACCCTCGAAGCCAACTGACAACTATGCTTCGACTATGGTGAAACCTGCCCAACGGGCCCAACATGGAAATGAACGAGAGGCAACAATGCGAAATGGGGACAAGCTGAATGGCCGGCTTACCGGTTTACCTTGGATCTGCTTCAGAGACAAAACGCCAATACAAATGTTGTTGTTTTTTCTTCGGGCATCCCCCCAAGGGGTATCCTCAAAAGCGCACACCCAGATGGAAGCTTTCAGTTAACCGTTCCCGTCCTGCGGACTGGGAGTACGCTTCGCGTAGTTCTCCAGGAAGGTCAAGCCAGAGTCCACTAGGCGCGGGGCGCGCTTCTGGCTGGTAAAAGAGTCTTGGGCGTGCCCTTGCCTCCAAAGTGATACGCAACCAATCCGCCTGCTTGCCATTTCTCAGTGCCCCTTTTTGACAAATAGATCTGCTTTTTGTCGTTGGAGGAAGGGGTGAGGGAAATCCCAAGGAACTCCCTTGTTTGTCCAGGCCTCAAATGGCAAAAACCTATCCTTGAAATTATACCCATCGATCTCCAGTGTTAGAAGTGCAGAAACCTTCTGAAGGGGGTCCTTTTATTTCAAATCCATTTCGGTAGGATCTTTAAGAGGTCCCGCTTGCATGTGCACAAGACATGGGCCGTCAATCTTTTTCGGGAACCCGTTCAGGGCTGCGGGAAAGGGACGCCAAAGGAAACCAGTCGTTGGGGTCCGTTTGGAAACATGGCGCAATAGATTGGAGGAAGAATGGCCCATTGGCAACCGAAGCGGGCTGGCAAAATGCGGCCCCAAACAGAAGACACCTCGTAGGCCGAGAATGGTACTAGCTGCACGTCTCATCCATTCTTTCCAAAAAGATTGCCGCGAAAAAAGCAGGGTGTAGGCGGGACATGGTTTACCCTCGAAGAATACAGAAAAAAAACAAACATGACGCCCCAAACGGGCCATGATTCAGGGTGTTGCCCGTCTAACTAGGATAATTTTGCAAGGTCTTCTAAACAACGATGGGAACCCAGGATTGACGCACTTCTTTGACTTAAACCATTTAATTGGGGAATCCGTCACTTTCGGGGCAAACACCCGTCAATCTGGGGTAACCATTAGTGGGACCCCAAAGAATGTGTCTAGCTCCCCGGAGAATGGTCCCACCCAAGCAGTCTCTACGAATCTCCAGTGTCCACTCTGCCCTTCGTCCAAAGCAAGGGAGACCCCTCCTCCCATTCTTCTACCAGGATCAAGGTCACCCAAAGAAGGGGTAAACGGAAACCGCCCACTTTCTCACTTGTTGATACCCCCAAGAAACAGAACCACTCCTGAACAAAAAAGATGCCCCCATTCCACGGGACATGTAGCACCACTCAAAGCCGAGCCGCGCTTGGCCAGCTCTACCGGCTCCGGCCGCCTGGAGCCAGTCAGCTCCACCCCAACCCCCTTGAAGGAGGGCGAAGCAGGCGGGGAACGGCAACCTGCTTTGAGGGCCAAGTGGATTTGGATGATGTTGGCTTCGTTGAAACCCACGTCACGATCATAGGACGATGATGTGGGTACTTAGTTAGCCCAGAGAACGCCTGAATAGAACATGGCCCCAGTGGTGTGGAACAAAACAAGTGGGCAAACAACATCCATCAACAATCAAGCACAAATGCTCACCGTCGTGCCCTTGGAATCGCACCTGCCAAGCCGGCCTCTATCCCATTCATCCAACCGCCTCAACCATCTGCACAAACGACTCAATTTCAGCAGCCTGAAGGCCCGAGGGGCCTTGCAAAACACCAAACCTTCATCGGATAAGGCGTGGCGATCATTGTGATGAATAGACCCCACCCACACACACACACACACACTCACACACATTTTCCATCTGCATCCCCCGCCTCGGCCCGGACCTGCTGCCCCCGGGCGCCAAACGCGGCGGCGCCTCCGGCCGCGGCGACGGCGCCTGCGGCCGCGGCTCCGGCCGGGGCTCGCCTGGCGCCGTGGGCTCGTCCTTTCTTTTGGATTGGGACCCCCCCAAGGCTTCGGAGGTGTTGTTGGAGTTTTCCCGTATTAAAAACCACCAAGAAGAAGGCAAATGCTTCGTTGTTGTTGGGTTTTCCCTCATTAAAAACCACCAAGAAGAAGGCAAATGTTCTTTTTTTGGGGGGGGTCCCTTATTAAAAACCGCCAAGAAGAAGGCAAATGCTTCATTGTTTTTTTGTTTTCCCGTATTAAAAACCACCAAGAAGGAGGCAAATGCTTCGGTTTTTTTTTGGGGGGGGTCCCTTATTAAAAACCGCCAAGAAGAAGGCACATGCTTCAGTTTGTTGGGTTTTCCCGTATTAAAAACCACCAAGAAGAAGGCAAATGCATCTTGTTTTTTTGGTTGTCCCTTATTAAAAACCACCAAGAAGAAGGCAAATGCTTCGGTCTTTTTGGGTTTTCCCTCATTTCAAAACCACCAAGAAGAAGGCAAATGCTTCGTTTTTTTAGGTTTTCCCCTATTAAAAACCACCAAGAAGAAGGCAAATGCTTCAGTTTTTGTGGGGGTGTTCCTTCTAAACCTCTTACTAAAGAAAAGAAAAGAAAAGAAAAGAAAAGAAAAGAAAAGAAAAGGCGACCCCTCAAAAAAGACAGCCCCAAATGGCGCAGTAGCAACCGGAGATGCTGCAGCACCGTTTGATATCGGGTTCAACGACTGGTTGTGGGAGGAAGTGGCAATGTGTTCACTGAGTGGCCAATGTCAAAACATTTCTTCGTGGCGGCCCTCACAACGACTGGCATGCACCATGGAAAAGAAACTGGAGGCACCTTCCATGAAGTGGAAAATGATAAATCCTGGTTTAGGAGAGCACTAACTTCAACTCCCCCCGGTGTGCTGCGAATGGAGGCCTGGTTTCAAAGCCCCATAGGCAGACCTCCACTGGCAAAGAAGGGGCGCCCTTTTCGGGAGGTGATTTGAAAGGGAAACTCCTCCAAAACAAGGAAGGCTGCCAAAGACGCGACCAAACCACAGGTGCCCACACAGGTGTACCAACAAGAACAGAGAACAGCAAGCCACCTCCGCTCCACCGCCCCTCGCCCCTCGCCCCTCGCGGGCGGCCTTTGCGCTTCGGTCTTCGCGGTTTCTGCCAGGGCCAAGGCGCGTCCTCCGACCTGAGCGCGCGGGTCCCAAGCGGCGCCTGGTGACATGTTCGCATGGCCTGCATACTTCCGGCACCAGTTGCCGCACAAGCGCAACTAAACACGTCACCCGTCCCCTGTTCGCTTCCTTTTGGGGAATCCCAAAAAAGTCGCCGGATGAAAAAACCGCCCGCCCACCCACCGACTACCAACGGAATCCGCCCAGTCCTTGGCCAAACCACGGGCGCAACGGCTGCACTGGCGCCGCGGGCGCCGCGGGCGGCGCCTCTTTCGCTGGCGCCTCCTTCACCGGCACCGGCGTCAGGCGCGGCGACAGCCGTGCCAAGGGCGGCCGGCTTTTGGTCCAGAGAAGCGGCACGGCCTCGCCATCCTGCAACACCCGCGCCACCTGAGGGGTCCAAGGCACGCAGAAATGCCGGCAGAAATCGCAAGGAAGCCACTCCAACTCCTGGTGAGTTGTTTTTGGGACGGGCTTGGGCCGCCTGGCCGGTTCGGAAAGAGCAAATGTCCAACATGGTTTGTTTGGGAAATTTTTCCCAGTTGCCCATTTCCGCCGGTGTGCCAGCCCCACTCAAAGTGAGCAGGACCAAAGAAGCCACAAAACAAACAACATGAACCAAGAAGGGTGACACCTAAATCATACCCAACAAAATTGCCCACTGTGAATCTTCTCAAAGTTTGGGCCGTCCAACCCTAACGGCACACCCAAAACACACGCCAAGAACGGCGACGCGCGAGTCGAAACGTCGGCGTTTTCGGCCGAGACGCCGCTGGAGGCAGCAGCATTAGCTTGAGGTCCCTGGCATCAGCGCCTGACACGGCGTGGGTCTGTCCAAATGGCAAGAAGGACCAAGAAACCGTCGCGTGCACCCATGGTCGCCAAAGCAGTCGGGAAAGGGGCAGCTCTCCCAAGACAAAGCCAAGCCCAGTCGACTTCTATGTAAAACAGGGATCGCACTTGTGGTGTCCAGCAAAAATGCCACTCTTGGAGGTTCAATTCAGGGGAAACCTGAAAGAACGCGGGCGGTTGCGGGCAGAGAACCCGCGACAAAAGTCATCGACTGGACAACCGTGCAACTTGGGACTGGTTCCTTCCCGACCCCCCCCCCACCGGCCACCAACCCCAGGGTTGCAGATTTGTCCTTCAAAGTGTTCGTGTCAAGCCCGTAAAGACAACACCAGCCAAAGAGAATCTCAGTTTCAATTGAAAGCTGAAGTCAATTGGCGTCACCCCCAAAAGCCTAAGAGCAAAAAAACTCGGACCTGCCCACACGCCCGGCCTTCAGCCACTGCGGCAGGTCCCTTCAGCCAAGCTTGAGCCAAGTGGCCTCAAGTGTCCTTCTGTGCAGCCCCTTCAGCAAGAACTGCTCCTCAAAGCATTTTTTCCCGGTTTGGGTCCGCTGTCTTAGCTACACTAAGTGGCTGTCGTTTTCTGATGGTGCCGTTCCGACCTTGCACTCACCCAACCTACTCAATCCAGGTTCATGCGCCTCGCAGCCTTGCCGGACCCCGTCACCAACCTGAATCCAAAATTCCAGTGGCCATGGGAAAAGAAGGACCCTTGCGTTGTTTGGTACTTAATGTTGAAGGGAACTGGGCAAGCAAGAGCGCCAACTCTCCAAAAACATCCAAAACACGCAGCCGCTGGAGGCCTGGCGATCCGGAATCCCTCAGGGACCGGGCCAAAGCTGCTGCAGCAGGGTCGTTACCTCTGGTTGGCGAGTTCGCCAGCCGGCTTTTCAAGGGAGACGAAAGAGCCACAACCAACCCAGCAAACCAACAAGAACCAACAAACCAACCAACCAACCGACCAACCGACCGACCAACAGACAAACAAACAAACCCAAGCAAACCAAACCAACCCTAATCACTTGGGCCCCTATTGTTGGAACAGATTTGGCTGTGGCCCCAATTTCGTGCAACTTGTGCATACCCCGAGGCTAACTGGTTGGGCCTCTGCATTTGCCACAGTCGCAATTGTCCAACCAGCCGATGGGTCTCACTGCAACTCCTCGCCAGGGTTCCACGCATAGGCAGCAGAGAATTGAAACGAATGAAATGCCTAAGAAGGAAAACTGAAAGCCTGGGTGGGCATCCCGAGAAGTACGGGAACCCAGCCACATGCTGGCCAAATGTTAACCCTTGTTGGTGAACCGCGGTCACGTTCCGTCTGAGTTTGTGAAACATAATTGGTAGATTGCAGCTTCCAAACCCTGCATGCTGCGAACACAAAAATCACCCAACTAGGGTGGGTCTGCCCTAACTTTACCCACAGCCTTCGAGGGTCGCCGTCACCCCCTAATCCACCTTTGTCCTGCCCCGGGCTTTGGTTTAGGTTTCGGGTTGCGTTTAGGGTTTGGGTTTGGGGTGTAGGTTTAGGGTTCAGGTTTAGGTTAGGGCTAGGTTTTCGGGTGTAGGTTTAAGGTTTAGGTTTAGGCTTTGGTTTACGGTTCAGTTCACGTCTGGGGTTTAAATCCGCCGACATTGTTCGGCGTGTCGGATACATAAGAGAGGACTATTGGATACCTAAGAGAGGATAGAGGATAACCCCCCCCTTAGTCCCCCCCCGGGACACGTCAAATACGCATGGTTTTTCGGTCGCCACCCCCCCCCCCTCCCCCGCGTACCGCGCGGCAATTTGATGACGTTCCACTAAACGTAGTCTTCGGGGAGCCGGTGTCGCAAAACAGGGGTCCCAGGCTCGATTCCCCCTGCCGGCTTTTTGGCTGGCTTGGGCTTCTTGCATCCTTTTGCCGAAAATCTGGAAAAACTCAATGTTTTTGGTCGTCCTCTTTGCGAAAACGCAGGAAAACCGTGCTTTTTGCGGAAAATACTGGGGAGCAAAGGGGAAGTGCAAGGATACATACATGCATACATTACATTACATTACATTACATTACATTACATTACATGACATGACATACATACATACATACATTACATACATACATACATACATACATACATTACATACATACATACATACATACATACATACATACATACATACATACATACATACATACATACATACATACATACATACATACATACATACATACATACATACATACATACATACATACATACATACATACATACATACATACATACATACATACATACATACATTACATACATACATACATACATACATACATACATACATACATACATACATACATACATACATACATACATACATACATTACATACATACATACATACATACATACATACATACATACATACATACATACATACATACATACATACATACATACATACATACATACATACATACATACATACATACATACATACATACATACATACATACATACATACATACATACATACATACATACATACATACATACATACATTACATACATACATACATACATACATACATACATACATACATTACATACATACATACATACATACATACATACATACATACATACATACATACATACATACATACATACATTACATACATACATACATACATACATACATACATACATACATACATACATACATACATACATACATACATACATACATACATACATACATACATACATACATACATACATACATACATACATACATACATACATACATACATACATACATACATACATACATACATACATACATACATACATACATACATACATACATACATACATACATACATACATACATACATACATACATACATACATACATACATACATACATTACATACATACATTACATACATACATTACATACATTACACACATTACATTACATTACATACATACATACATACATACATACATACATACATACATACATACATACATACATACATTACATACATACATACATTCCATACATACATACATTACATACATACATACATTACATACATACATACATACATACATACATGCATACATACATACATACATACATACATACATACATACATACATACATTACATACATACATACATACATACATACATACATACATACATACATTACATGCATACATTACATTACATTACATTACATTACATTACATTACATTACATTACATTACATTACATTACATTACATTACATACATACATTACATACATACATACATACATACTTGCATTGGGGGGGGTGGGGAGGGAGAGAGGACAACAGAACACACAAGGGAGACAAGGGAAAGAGGAGGAAGGAGAAAAGGGAGAGGACAATGTCGGCGGACTGAGCCGGAGGCTCTAAAGTTTCGGGTCCAGGTTAATTGCGTGCCCCTCTGCAGGCTAGCTGCTAGTGCATGTCTTGGAAGCTCTTCAGAAGTGTTGGCTGGCTTTGTCCAAACGGCACATTAAGCAGAAGCCGTCTCTGCCTTTGGATGAGCCGAGCTGCGCTTGGCCATGACCAATTCGAGCACGCGCCACGAAGACAAAAAGTGCTGCAGGCGGCTTCGGTCTTTAGGTTCGGGCGTCGGGGCATTGTTTTTGGGAGCAGACAACATTGAGGGGCTGGCCGTAACTTTAGAGGGGACGGGCTCCTCTGATGAATCCCTCCCAACCAAGACTTGGATGCTTGATTCTCCATATTTAGCAAATTGGGGGCCTCACGCATTTTGCGGTCTTCCGCTGCGGTCCCCTTGTTACCGCCTACTCAAAACAGGGTACCGTCGTCAAGAACAGGCGAGCCACCCATTTGGCCTCCGGCTTCGTGGCTTCGTTCCCCGGTTTTGAGTCACCTGTGGCGCTGGAGCTCCGCGCCATCGATGTGGAGCGCCGCATCCAGCGCCGCGGTGACCACCTTCTCCTTGAGGTCCGCCTGGGCGCGAGCGCCCGCGCTGGCGGATCTAAGCGGAACCCGTCCTGTTCTTAGTAAGGGCCACTATCCAAGAACCAGTTGGGGGGTGCGGGGGGGAGGTGTTCCCTCCAAGTATCGACACAAATGTCCTTTCTGCCTCATGTTGACCCGGATTGATAGATCTGTCCTATTACAGGGGTCTGGCAGATTGCTGATGATTCTAGCAAATTGCCGCTTTTGGAGGTCCAAAAACGGTACCCTTGTTTTTTTGGGGGTGTTTTCTAGTGATGAACCCGTACCAAAAGGGTTGCTCTCGCCCATGAAAACCAACCAGGGGTTTAACTTCATCCAAAGTTCCCACTTTTCGTGAATGCCCGTACAACTGGCCTCTGTATTGGGCAAGGCCCGCGTGGTACTTTGGGATGGATCACAAGGCTTTGACTGGAGAAAGGTAGTAATTCTAAGAAGCACTGAACCCCAAGAGTTCGTGCCCACGGTAAACTCTCAGGCAGTTTAAAAAGAGTGGAGAGCGGGGGGGTCGACAAACGTCCTCTTCGGATTGATTTCAGAGGACAGTGATACTCCGAGAAACCGCATTGAATGCATCCCCTTCCCATTCTAGGTCCCAAGATTCCAATCTAGAGATGGTGGGCGCCCACCAGGATCATATTCACAAGCTGCAGTCACTTGTTTCTGGTCCTGCTGGCCTCCTCTCCCACTCGCGGCCTAGCCCCAGTCCTAACTCGAACGGGTGCAACACTCCAACCACCCGTTCATGGTGTTTGATTGACGCTTCTCCGAACTGGACATGGCCACCTGCAACATCTTAAAGCCACGTTTGCTCAAGCATCCTGATTTAGATGTTCATCAGGCTACACTAAAGTGAAGGTAGATGGCAATTGGTCCCTGCATGTGGGTAAGAAAACGGGATGCAATTAAATAGAGGGAATTGTGCCATCTACGTTCACCCAAACTGCAAACGTGGCCTGCTTCTTTAAGCCGCCTTCCCCCCAACCGCACCTGCGATCGCTCCATGATGGTGTTCAGCTTCAGCTCGAGGTTGGACAGCTGCCCTGATGCAAGGCACCTCTCCAAGAAACCAGCTACAGGAAATTCTACAGGAAAATATTGTTTCTGGTGGGTATTTGCCAATTTACGGCCGACTGTCCTATAGCCTGGTTACCCTCATACTAAGCCCTGGCCATATGTAGTTCTTTTTATTCGATGCATTTGCCAATTCATCAAAGGGGCAAACCTTCCCATCCACGAAAGTGCCCAACCCCAGGCTCGCTCCCCAAAAGGCGCGCCTATGGTTCTGACCTCCACAGGCCTGGCGTGAGAAAAACCCCGCGCGGGCGGCGCGGGCTGATGGTGGGCTCATCAGAAATCACTGCGGATGGGCGAAATCCGCTTGGCATCCGGTGGAAAAATTGGATGCTGGGAGAACACCCCTGCAACTGGCGGGACGTGTCCATCCACAATAGGAGCCCTTCTGGGAGAGCCCGCTTCTGTGTTCATGATGGAATTGTTCCGCGCGTTTGGTGAGGGGCCCAGCCCACTTTGTGAAGACCCACCCCCATGTTCCAAAGAACCACCCAGTGACCTTGCAGAGGTTCCCTTTTTGCCTTTGAAAACTACAGGGTTCGGGTAATCATTTTTTTGTCAGCCCACCCTTTGTTGATGCCTGCTAAGTAGGTGAAGCTTCCCAGCAAGAGTCAGCCGATGAGCTCTTCAAAATGAAGGTTGGCCCATCCCAATCCATCATCCCCACTCGGAAACCAAGGACGGTGGCACGATTTTGTGTGTGTCCATATCCAAATCAATATGGAGTTGACTGTGTATATATATCTATATACTTATGTGTGTATACATACATATTGTGTTCTAAACAAAGAAAGATAATTCAGCCCCTGGCCAAATCCGGCTGCAGGGTTCCTCATTTGTCCCCGTTCCCGCATTTCCTAGGGGTTTGCAGAGGATGGCCGGAGGGGTGACGGTTTAAATCGGCCAGGGGAGGGGACCCAAATTTGCATCCGAGCCCTTCAGCTGGCCCGCCTGAAGATCTGGACCGAGAAGAGCCAAGCCTCCCGGTTTTGGAAGGGTCGCGGAGGGCGGGTGGGTCCGTGGGTCAGTCGTGGCTGACTCAGCCCATGACTCAAACTGATGGCTTTTGGGGGCGGGGAAAAGGAAAACCCACCAAAAGACCAGAAGCAATTTTGAGAACCTGCAACTCTCAACATGTAACACTGCAGGATTTGACCCAAGGCTCAAGGACCTTCCGGGCGTTCCCAGCTCCCCCCGACCCGAAACCCCAACCCCGCCACCCGAAACGCCCCTCTCCGCGCCACGCGGATCCAGCCGACGAAGGCGCTGGCGCTGGCGAGGAAGGCCCAGGGGATCTGCCTGCAGGCAGATCCCACCTTTCCGGGCCAGAAGGTGATGCTTCATAGCCGCCTTCTGGCGAAACTTTGGGGCCTCTGGTTTTTGGTGCTCGCAGATTTGACACCGCCAGTGATCGAAAAAGAGAAGAAAAAAAGGATCAGGCTGGGCGGGCAGGTCCCTTCGAGGGGCTTTGCTTTCCTTTGAAGCTGGTCAGGTTGAGGACGCCACATTTAATGGAACCAACCAAAAGGCCTTGAAGAACAAGATCTGGACCCATTCCCGCTTTCATGAAGATGACACTTGATGGTGGGCCTTCCTTATCTAGCCCCACTCGCCTGAATACGACCAGGAATCCCGACAAAGGTGCACGCAAGTGAAGCAAAGAAGCCACACGACCAAACACCGAGCGCGGAACGGCGCCCTCAGCACCAGCTCCTGCAAGCCTGGGGCTCGCTCCAACCCTCTGTGGCTGTGGCGCAGAAAAAGGAGGCACCAGAGAATTCAGAGGATACCAAGCAAGTGACCCAAGTGACCCAAGTGGCAGGCCTCAGCGAGTGTTCCCAGAATCCGATCACAATGGGACACCACTTTGACGAAGCCAGTCCATCCCCCTTTGGCTGTCCGATTTCTGTTTTCACCCCACTTCGGAAGCAGCTGTTTTTTTTTTTGTTCCTCCTCCGAGCCTGAATGGTGCTGGAGCACCGGGTATTCCAGGTCCAGGTAGTAAGGCAAGCGCCCCAGGGACCTGGGCCAAAGGGCGGCACAGGCCTGAAACCTCCCAAACCCACGTGCAAAAACCCAACCCCAACTCAACTGACCAGCCAACCCCAACCAACCCCCAACCCCCAAACTCAGCCCCCATCTCACCCATCAAAGCCCCACCCAACCCCAACCAACCCCCAACCCCCAAGCTCAGCCCCCATCTCACCCATCAAAGCCCCACCCAACCCCAACCCAACCCCAACCTCAGACCGCTTCCGGGCCTTTCTTCTGGCGCGAACTACTTGGTGTCGGAATACCCCTCGAACCAAGGCGGTGACTTCAGGATGGCTGTACGCCCCTCACATCCACGCACCCTTTGTTTGGCTTCACCTTCCGCCTCAAAAAGCCACAGCCGAGATGCTGCAGAATCGAGTAGACGCCTGCGCGGTGCGCGCACCCGCGCGGCATGAGCATGGTTGCGGAAGCCGATCATGACTGGCTCTTGCCTTTGCAAGGGAATTGAACCAAGCCTCGTGGCCCCCAAGACCATATTTCTTGAAGGGTGGCTGCGAGCTTCAATAGAGAACCCTTGGTGGACATGAATCCCCACCTAAACGATGTCCACCAAAGGGTCCCCAACCAAAATTCATACCCAGGCCACCATGCGCCGCGCGCGGCCTGCCAGCACCACCCCATGCAGCATCATGGTGAGGACGGCCTGCAGGACGCCCTGCCTCAGGCCGCGCATCGATTCGAAGCGCCTGAGCCCCAAGCAGGATGCCCCAGAAAACCGAGAAGAAAAAAGAAGTATTGTCCAAATGGGGAACTTGAACTCCTTTTTGACTCCGAAGGCTGTGCCGGACCAGTAAGATAGCTTCCAAGTTCAACAGGGAACTCCTACAGGCGAGTTGCCGTTTTCCCTACTGGCCCCCCATTCAAATCAACCTGAGAAGCCCTCACAGGCCGAGAAATCCAAGGCCAGGGCCTGATGTAGAGATTGATGACCTCCGCGCGAGGCTTCGAAAAATGGCTCAAACAGCCAGACGGGCGCTCCTCCGGGGTTTTGTCTAGAGTCTAAACAAAAGTGGCTCAAAACCCCAGCCGCTTGAGAAAGGGACCCGAATATAGAAGGTGACTGTCATCTGGGGATGGACCAAATCAGAGAAACCCCCAAGGTCAGTTGGGCCCAACCCTGCGCACCGGGCCACGCAAGGCGACTGCCCCAACCAAACGGGGGCGCGGCGGGCCAAGCTAACCTGGGCCCGCAGTGTGGCGTCACTGCCGTCCTTTCGGGTGGTTTCATCCGATTCCTGGCTACACCAAAGCTTTGTGAGTCGAGTGTGAAATTTGGGCAGGTCTCAAGACAGCGGACCATTGTTGAGTAGTGTTGAACGGAGGCCAAAAGGAACTAAGCACCAGGAGGGTGTCCCCAATTTGGAGAAACACCCATGTTAACATTTGGGGACTGCCAGCCAACCACTCTTTCAGAATGTCCCCCACGTGAACACATGGCGCCCTCTCTTGAGAAAAAGGGAGCTGCTTGTGAACCACTGGCATTGACCCTGAACATTCTACCACAAAAAAAAAGATTCCTCAACTAAACTTTGGGCCTTGAAACGGTCTTGTCCTTCTGCAAGTTCCCAGCACCAAAAAAAAAGCAAAACAAAACAAACAAAGCAAAACAGAACAAACAAAGAAACAAACACACCTCAAACCCCATCTTCTTATTCGCAAGGCACGGCCAATTCCGCCAGGTCACCAGGGCAGGATGGGCAAAAGCAGATGCCGCAGCACCACACACCTCGGCCGGCCCTCGCCATTTGGCAACTCCTCTGGGCGAACCTGTTGAATGAGTGCTAACAAATTGTTTTTTGTGAGAAAACCGCAAAAAATCTGACTTTCCCAGGAAAAGTTACTCATGGCCATTTGGGGCCATGAAGATTGATCAACCCAATGGGTTCCTTTCGGATGCTACATTCATGGTCGTTTGCTGCAAGGGATGGGAACCCAGGTATGAGAACCGGCAAAGTGCCCCATGAATTCACAAGGTCAATCAAAATCGTCCAGCTGGGGGCCAGGCCAGGGTCATGATGGTGCGGATGCCGTACATATAAACATGTAGGTAAAGCAACGAGTGGGACACCCGGCAGTTTTCTACAAGTTTACCAGGGTGCTGAAGTTGTACTGTACGTTGGTCCACTTGCGACATTCACAAAATCTACCGTACCACCGAAACAAGAAAGTGACGCGGAACCTCAAAAAAAAGCTCAAAGACTTTTTTGGAAGACCCCCAGTTTTTCGAGATTCTATTCTTGCATTTGGTGACCAAAGCAGATGCAGTCCAGCAGGTTCCGAGGAGCAGCCGCCACAGAAAAGAGGTGGGACAACTAAGTTAAGCCAACGGCATTCAATGCTTCATCATGTGTCTTGATTGAGGACGGCCCATGCTGGAATCAGTTGCATACACAACCAGATGCAGACATAGATACGTGCGTGTACACGCAAAAGTACCTTCAAAAGAAGCCCATTTCTTCAACAACATCTGTGCAACTTACAAGAATGGTTCCCTCGTCACCTCGTTGTTAAATGGTTTTCAACGTCACACACACAGACACCTTCATCTTCTAAACCGATGCCCTCGCGCGGCTCGCTTCGCACGGCTCTTCGTCAGGCCCCGGGCCCCGTGAAGCGCGTGCGCTGCATCTGCTGGGCATACGCCTTGGCCTTGGCCTGGCCGAACGCGCGAGAGACCGGACGCGGCGGTCCAGGCCGCCATTTTCGGCGGAAAAAGATGAGTTCATGGCCCTTCCCTTTTGTTTGGTGGAAAAGGTGTCAAGACTCCGATGGCCAACTTGTATGTTTTTCCAGAAGACCGTGAAAATTGGGGGGGGGGGGAAGAAGAACAACTCCTGCAATCGTCCGGAGTAGATGAGTCCACGAACAACAAAAAAAGCTCTGAACTTGTGTTGCCACTAAAACGGTTGTCCTAAAGAGTTTCAAATTCAGAAAACCGGGACTGCATGAGAACCGACGCCCAAGGCTTTCCGGTTGACTCCATTCCTCTGCGGGGGGGGGGGGGGTTGTATGCTTGAAAATGTGCCCACCCTCTGATATTCAAGAGAATGAAGAACCCTCCTGGCAACGAGCAGCATGGAAGCTTGCCAGAGATGAGTCACCTGCACCAAACACGATCTCGCCTTTTGGAACATTGAGTAAGCTCGGTTCCCTTCCCCCCCCCAAAAAACAAAAAAAAGTCCATTCCTTTTTGGTGTCCATCTAAACCGACCCCTAAGCAGGGCAACCTCAAAAAAAACAAATCGACCCCCCCCCCCCCTCCGCTTTTGGGGCGTCACCACCACCCCCCCAAAAAAAAAAGAAAAAAGGAGGAAAAAAAACGCTTCGCCCCCCCCCCCTCTTTTGGAGCGCAAAAATTATTCGCCTTGGTGCGGCCCAAAGCCACCGAGCGGCTTCCCCGCGGCCGAAAACGCTCCGCCCAGCGCGCCTCCACCTTGGTGAAGGCCGCGCCGTAGCTCTGCTTGTACCTGGCGGGAGCGGCCGAAAGTGGCTCGTCGTAGTTATCTGGAGCTCGTGTTCCCCCCATTCTTCTGGGCTGGCTTCAAAGAAAACCCAAAGGGTTTATCAGTATTTTTGTGGGTCCCGCACCAAAAAAAAAGAAAGAGACACCCTCCCAAGGAAGGGGGTCACAAGCTATCCATTCGCTTTCGCAAGTTTGGGGAAACGAACCATTGTGGGCTATGCGGCGCTTTGGATTTCTCCGGAGGACGATAATGATCAGGCGCTCCCCTGCAAGGAAGGGAATTGTCGATTTTGGGGTCGCAGAAGTGGAGCAGACCAAATCGTCAAGAGTGGCTGGGCTAGAGGCTGATTGGTTCTCCCTCGATTCTTCAACCAGAGGAACCTTAACAACTGCTCGTTGAAGACCTCCAAACAATACAGGAAACCAAAAAGCCCAAACCAAGGAAATCTTAAAGAATTGCAAAAGTCAAGGGATGATTCGTCTGTCCTTCCATTCTTTGGGTGCTTCCTCTTAACAAATGCTTCCTTTGTCGCCAACATGCTATGAAGAGCAGTTTCATTGTTTGCAATCCCCAAGAAGGACAGGGGTCACTGAATTCCCCCTGCAACAGTTGCAAATTAATTGTGATGTCCATTGAAACCGCCACTTTTGGAGGGTCCAAAATCAGAAAAGAAAAAGAAAAGGAAATGGAACCAATGGAACCCCTGAATCTGAAGGACCCAACAAAACCCGGGCCTTCCCTCTTTAGACTCCAAAATCCGGGACCAGGTCGGGTCCCCCAAAAGGCAGGCGGAAATCGGCGGATTTGCGCACCGCGGGACCGACGCGGCAAGCTTAGAGAGGAAGAAGCAGCCGCCAGTGCTGGCCTGATGCCAAGCGGCACGGCATAGAAGAAGCTTGGGACGGCGCCCAAAAATCAAAGGCCGAAAATCAGGACCCGGAATCAAACAACGAAAAGTCAGGACCCAAAATTCCAACACTGCCAGAACCCCAAAGTCCAAAACTCTAGGAGTGCCCACTCCAGGTTGCCATGGAACCCACTAGAAGGTTACAGTAGATTCAAGAATCGTGGTTTCCACATAGGTCAGGAAGACTCCAGCAAAACCTCCCCACCAACATGGCACCTACCAAATGCTCCCTTGCAAAGGTCCAAACCAGGACTCCCCAGTCAGGTCTCATGTAAGTTAGTGGGAGAGTGCATCAAACTCAACTTCTCCATACTTTCCTGGGATCTTTCTTTCACTGAACGCCCGGAACCAAAACCCAGAACCAAAACCTTTCGAATTCCCATCAGCCCTAGTACAAAGCTCACCACTTACCCCCAAGATGGCTCTGCAAACTAACATGGAAGCCCAGATACATCATGAGCATCCTCTTGCGCAAATGAATGCGGAATCCCCCAATCGGGGTCCCAGTCCTAAAGCAGATTCCTCTACGAGCGAGCGCTTTTCGAGCTCCATGCGATTTTTGCAGTAGGCATCGACCAGGACCAAGGAATCAAAACCAGCGCAAAAACTGTTAAACTCACACCCCGTATGTGCGAAACAAGAAATGCACAAACGCATGACTGGGCCCCAGGGAGAGTATGACCCACAAACCCAACATGTGTATACATATATATATATATATATATGTGTGTGTGTGTGTGTGTCTGTGTGCACATGCATGTATGCATATGCGTGTGTGGGTGTGTTTGTGCGTGTGTGCGTGTGTCTGTGTGTCTGTGTGCACGCAAGTAAGAAAATAAATATGTACGTGTGTGTGTGTGTGTATGTGTGTATGTGTATGTGTATGTGTGTACGTGTGTACGTGTGTGTGTATGTATGGCTGTCCGTCTGTCTGTCCGTCAGTCTGTCTGTCTGCCTGTGTATGCATCTATATTTTATATATCTATGTATCATCTATCTATCTATCTATTTATCCATCTATCTATGCATCTACCCATGTATGCATTTATGTGTGTATGTGTGTATGTGTGTATGTGTGTTTGTGTATGTATGTATGTATGTATGTATGTATGTATGTATGTATGTATGCATGCATGCATACATGCATGCATGCATGTTTTTATGTATGTATGTATGTAGCTAGGTAGGTAGGTAGGTATGTATGCATACATGCATGTATGTGTGTGTGTGTGTTGTTATGTTATGTTGTGTTGTGCTGTGTTGTGTTGTGTTGTGTTGTGTTGTGTTGTGTTGTGTTGTGTTGTGTTGTGTTGTGTTATGTTATGTATGTATGCAAACATGTATGTTTGTATGTTTGTATGTTTGAATGGTTGCACGTTTGTATGTTTGTATGCTTGATTGTTTGTTTGTATGTTTGCATGTTTGTATGTGTGTATGTATGTATGTATGTATGTATGTATGCATGCATGCATGCAGGTAGGTAGGTAGGTAGGTATGCATTCATGCACACATGTATGTACGTACGTATTGTCAGTTGGGTCCATATTAGAAAATTCTATAGTGCAAACTTATGTCAGTTTCCCTTCCAGCCAAAAACGGCTTTGGCGGGGTCAACATTAGGGGACTTTGTTGCGTCCCCTTTCAAAGGCAGCACAAGAGGGGTCCATATTGGCCTTTGCCAAAATGAGTGGCTTTCCTGGACCTGAAAACCTTCCAAGTGCCGAGGTCTTGTTGCCGTCCAAGCTACGGCCTGCTGCACCTCCTTCTCCCACTCTGCGAGGACCTGGGGTAAAGCCTCCCTGCATCCAGGCTTATGTCAAAGACCAAACCCCCGCAAACTCCCAAAGCAGAAACAGCCACAGGTAGGCTGAATTTACGCCTTTTGCCTTCAGTATCCCTAAAGATTTTGCTCTCAGTACCGGGGGTCTGGCAGAGTTGAAGCAACAAAAAGGGGGGGGTTGAGCCAATTTGCTTTTGCTCGCAGCCGAAATTCGGGCCCTCCCAGCTGGTGGGCCGTTCATGTTCGTGGACTGGCTCGCAGGCTCCAACCCCCAACAGCTGGGTGCAAGAAAATTGCCCAGTTCCCATTTTTGGGTTTGGCCATCCATTGTGCTTTTGGGAATTGGGCCATCTACTTCATTCTGTGCGGTTGAAAATCTCGTTGTGGCCTGGCTGATGGCTGGATTCCAAAGAAAAGTCATGATTACTTTACAGTTTGAGGGGCCCCCTCTTTTGGAGGTTGTCCAACTGAAATGTTGCACAAAGTTTGGGTGAGAATGGGAAGCCCAGCTGTGTGTGCGTGCGTGAGTGTGTTCCAACAGGGGACCCCCAAATTGGCTTCCCCTTCAGTTTCCCTTCCAAACAATCCCCCCAAAGTGCACGAAATCTCCAAAACGCACCAAAAAAACATATGACCGGGCCCCGAGCTTCTGGCCGTGCTACGACCCAACACTCCCCTCCCGCATCCGAGCCGAGGAGTCGGCCAGCTCCTGGTTGATGAGCTCAAGCTCCTGGCGCTTCCGCTGGAAGCACTGCTTCAGCCGGCTGAGGAAGGCCTGGTCCAGGTGGAAGTCCTCGGACATCGGGCCATACGTCTTATCCACAAGAGAAAAGGAGAAGCACATGAGTCAGAATCAAAACCCGGTACAAAAATGGTTAACCCAGAACCTGTTTATGGCCTGTCCCTTGCTAACCTCCAATCACCCGGGGTTTGATTGTGACTCACATGATTCAATGACCAAGGGGTCTTGGGGTCACTTGGTGAAGATGCGAAAAAAAGTCATATTACCTACTGTGGATGGACCAAATCCTGCCCAAAAAACCCTGGAAGCATGAAATTTCCTCCGCAAAATGCCAAGGACCACTGCTTTCCCGTGGTTTCAAAGTGGCGCGACATGGATTCAACCCGTCCACTGCAAATTCCCCGGCCCCGTCCTTCATCACCGCCTCCTGGCGCTCTTGGATCGCCAGCTCCGCGGCATCCAGCGCGCTGGAGAGGTTCCCGCAGGGCATCTCCCCCGCCAAGTCCTCGCGTCGTTTGGGGCGGCCCGCGGGCCGATTCCAAAGCGAGGCCGCTCGATGGCGCAAGCGCCCGACCAAACCACCCGGAAACCACTGGATAAGCACTGCCTTGCGCTTGCTTCTCCCAACTTTTTGGGGGGTTGAGAGTAGCGGAAACCATCTTGGATGCCCGTACAGCCAAAAAAGCTGTGCTCAGATTCCCTCTATTCCAACAACTTGGGGCTTACGCCCTTTAACATCAAGGAAAGCTTGGCACAATAATTGGTAAGTAGAGGGAGGGTAAGGTGCCGCGAAAAGAAAAGGAAAAACAAAACATAGCCATGAGGATTTGCATACGCAACCAACACATGGCCGCCACCATCACGAGAAATATAACTGATAACTAGCCAACACATGAAAACAATGATCACAAATGCTCAGCCGTAACACGTTGCCTCTTGAAACCCATCACAGAAACACAACAATGCACCTTAAGCAAATCAAGACTCACCCAACTGACTCAATCAGGCTCCGGTGTCTCATGCTGGCTGCTCTTGCACGTGCTGTACACCTGTGTTCGGGATGCCGACTGGTTGCATATTTCATTCCACGATCCCCTTGCAGACAGGGCTTCTCCCCGCAAAGACTCACCCAAAAATACCCGCACAACAAAACTGAGCCAAATCCATGTAGATTTGGAGTTGGTCTGGACAAACATCTGCAATGTCCTTGACAAGGCTAACGCCTAAACTCGGGATGCTTATGGAGTGGTGCATGGACAACTCCCTTTTTGATTTGCATAGCCCTCTTGGCTACTGAGACGCACCCCAGCCTTGGCATGAGCACGACTCACCTATTGCTGAAACCTGCATGGAAAACTCCAAAACCAGCTCCTGCCAACCGAACCTCGATTTCTGGGGTATGCCCCTGGTTGTTTCTGGCGCATCCCTTTTGGCGGCTTTTCTCCACCCCCTACTAAAAGGCAGGGTTCAAGTCATCCGGGGTCAACATCTGTCAGTTGGCTGTGGGTCAAAAATAAGTGCCCAAAATGAAACCCTGGCAAATGGAAATGTGGACTAAAACCCGCGGTCTCCTGGTGGATTGATTTTGACCCATACCCAGTTTCATCCACCGGCCACCGCCGCCCCAAACCGCTCCCGCCGCGTTCGGACCGCAGGCCTGTGCCGCCGCCCCGAAGGCTTCGCAGAGCTGCGCTGCGTGGCTGTCCTCGAAGGCCTCTCGGGCCTGTCGCACGGGGCGGTTTCCCTGGTGCCGCCTTTCTTTTTTTTCTTTTTTTTTTTTTTTTGGGGGGGGGGGGGATATAGCAATAAATATATATATATATATATAAGAAGCAAAGCAAGCACACGCTGCCGTGGATGGACCAAATCCTGCAAGTAAGAAACCTTGGAACGATGATTCCCCTGTAAATACCAACAAACAATGGCTTCCCATAGTTTTAAAATGGTGCAGGATTTCGTCCATCCACAGCAAGCTTGGATGCAAATCAAGCGTGCTCTACATGCGGTTCTGATAGTTCACACATTTTTGTACATGCGCGTAGGCAAATTCACGCGTGTGCATGCGCACACCTAGTGAACACCGTGAAAACCATAGACTACATTACAACACATTACATTATACGTTGCCATGAATCAACATGAGATTCCAGTACATACACACATTGCCTTTCTCACATCCGTTCAGTTCCTCGCATTGTCACTTTACGCTGCAGACCTACGTACATGAGTCAGCCTTACAGCAATAGGAGTAAGAGTGTGAATCTGAAAAACCCGAGCGACCAACGGCAGCTCAGGTCCAAGCCAAGGAGATGCTGAAGTGGTCGCTCTGCACCAGGTCCACATACATCCGCAGATGCGCCGCGATGCTGGCCGCCTGATTCACTCACGGCCGGGCGGCAAACGGCGAAATGAGACCAAAACCAGCTCAGTGGTTTAGAAAAAAAAGCACGGCCTCTTTTGGGCCAAACCGCTTAGGAAGTGAGAACCCCCTTGTTCAACACCCTGAACAAATAACATCATTTTAGCCCGCTGGGAACGAAAAGAAACCGGGGACCCCGGAAAAAAAGAGAGGGTTCTGTGCTGCGGGACGAAGTCCCCTGTAGCGGCGGCCTTGGATGACGAAAAGAAAGCGAACACAGGCCAAAGAATACTTCCGGTTGCGTTTCCAGGCTCAACATGTTTGTTGCCCACGTTCCAGGAATGGAAGTGGTCATGTTCAAGCAAACTGAACTCAAAGGACACCAAACCGACACTAGCTCCTCCCTTCGCGCGAGACCCCGAGACTGGCCTGCATCGGCCGAGCATGTTGCAGCTCATTGGACCTTGGCTCGCTAAGGGGTCTCCTCAGTCGCCCAGTTGGGCCCTTGGGGATATTGTTGGAGCGAGGGAGGACTTCTTGTCCTTCTCTTGCGAGGGTTTTTTGTTTCCGCTTCCCTGATTCGCATTTTTTTCGGAAGAAAGATTGCCTTCCCAGCGCAACGGAAGGAGACTACTCATGCCTCTTCGCTTACCCCCGGTTGGCTTCCTTTTTTCAGGCGCCCAAAAGCCGCCCCCAGACCGTCGCCCGTCCGGGCAGGCTGCAGCAGCTCTCGCAGCCCCGAGGTGGCCTGCAAGTACTCCGGCAGCAGCTCCTCAGCCAAAGATGGCCAGGAGGTGACTTTCGGGGGGGCTGGGTGACATGGCTACGCGGGGAAATCTAGGCATAACACATGATACAACGTATGCATCTAGATTCACAGAAAGAACCCCACTGCCCACAACAAGGTCATGTGGGTGTCGCTTTTTTGAGGGGGGGACTTTTGGGCATGATGTAGTCCGTGTTGCTACGTCACCCTGTAGTCCCAAGTAGGAAATCCCCCCGCAAAATCACAAGGACCCCAAATAGTCAGACTCCCAAAAAGTTCCTGGAATTCAAAAGATGGCTTCTGAAGTTTCGGGTGCGCCCGGGGCTGGGGTACTTTTGTTGTACCCCCTAGAGTTTGAAAAATCGGTCAGGTTGGCTGCAACATTTGTAGACACCCTCCCAGACATCTAAAGTGGTGAAAAAGGTGGGTGGGGGGGGGGGGGGCACGGCACGTTTGTGCAACAGGAATGTTATGGCCCCTCGTCACTATTGGTCGCCACTCTCCTTTCCTATGGCACCCCACCCACGTGCGCGGCGCATTCTCCTCGTCAGCCAGCTGATCCAGCTTAGGCCACTGCCGGGCATCGTGGGTGGCAGAAGGCACCTGCGGTTCCCTTGCGCCCGCAAGTCGTAGGGTTTCCCATGCCAGGTGCAGAACTTTGTCCATCCACACGAATGTCAACCTCGAAAATTCATCCGAAAAAAACCCTACTACTCAGAGGACCTCCATAAAACGGACAATTTCCCGACTTGCTAAAGGGGAACTATCCCTGTAGGGTCCTTCATCCCGCAACCTTTCCGAGCCTCGTGGATCAGGTGCCGGAAGGATTCGCGCACCCGCTCGCGGGCCTTGTCCTCGCGAGAGGGGAAGGAAGGCCTCCAGGATATTGGGAGCAGGAGGGGAGATGGATATATATATATATATATATGTATAATACATATTGTTTTCTGTGTTTTTCCCCAACAGCTGAAAGCTTCGGGGTCTCAGCCCAGATAGGCTCCCGGGTGGTCCGGGGCGGCCCTGTGGTAAGGTTCCACCAAGGTTCCACCAGGGTTCCACCAGGGTTCCACGAGGGTTCCACGAGGGTTCACGAGGTTCTGCGAGGGCTGCGGGGTGGTGCGAGCACTAAAAAGAGCACCGCATCCCCAACAGCAAAAGGATGCCCTGGCAAAAAAATGCTGTTGGGGATATCACCTGAGCTTATTTTTTACATAGTGTGTTGTTTAAACAAAAGTGGGCACAAGTCAAACGAAGGGAGAGAGGAGAGTAGGGAGATGAGTGGAGAGAAGGGCAGCGAGCAAAGGCAGAGAAAGAACGAAGAAAGGGGCGGAGAGAAGAGCTGAGAAAAAGAGAGGGAAGAAGAGCAGGCAGACAGGCTAAGAGAGGAGCAAAGAGAAAAGTCAGGAGAAGCACGGGCACAGAAACAAAAACAAGGTATCCTCGCGCAGGTTAACATTGAACCCCCAAAAGAACATGGTGGTTAGAGCTAGGGAGCAGAGCGGAGACAGCAAAGAGACAAGCAGGTCGGGGACGAAAAGCACCGCGAGGAGGAAAGAGGGAAGCCTTAGGAGCCAAAACATGAAGGAAGAGCGGTTAAAGGAGCCTCAGTTAAGAGCTTCAACAAAAGCGGAGAAGATCAGAAAGAAGCAAGTTGTAAGAGCGGAAGGCGGCGCCACATGAAGAAGTGTCAAGCCAGAAACATGGAAGAGGTGGTCTCAATATCGACACCACCAACCCCAATCTGCGCTTGATCCCGATAGGTCAATCCCTCCTGGATCGTCAAGAAGGAGTCCAGCTGTGCTTGGCCTGCCTGCGCGTTCACGCTCCGCTGCTGCGTTTCGCTGCTAAGGCTTCCCAAGGATGGGCCGGTGCCATAGATTGTTTGGTTTCGGCCTTGCGGTCTGCCCCGCTTTTTGGCCGGCTACAAAAAGGACAGGGCTGAAGTCATCAAGGCCACCTCCTGGCGCAAAATCCAGGGGCCACTCCAGGAGTATGTTACTAGATGCTCGCCTCCAGGAGTTTTTGGAAAGGTCCGCAATAAAAGCAACACCCGGTGCAGTCTAACATGGGGCCCCCAAACACCCCTCTGCGAAGAGGAATCTATTTTGGGAGATCCCCTTGCTGGGTGCTATGTGAAACTGAATTGCCAGGGCATCTACAAAAGCAGCCTGCCTGCAGCTGGCATTGAGGATATTCCCGCGCGGCAATAACTCACAGGGCACACTTGATGGATCTATTTCTGGGCAACACCTTCAACTTTGGCCCTTACTCTTCCCCAAGTTGTTGGTGGGAGGGGGGTTATGATATGTGTATGTTCTTTTTCGGGCGGGGATGGGGGTTAATAGGGGTTGCATTTTTGACTCAGGTAGACCAAACCCGGGCGTCGGCTCCCAATGAAAGAGAATCCGTTTCTCAGCCTAGGTCCACCTTGCACCGGACTTTGGAAAAAAGATCGACCTTTGTGGGCCCTTTGCCTAACAGGGTTCGCCGGATCAATCCGAAGTTGCTCAGGCCCACGTAGGGCGCTAATGGATGGGTGCTACTGTACTGCCCCCAGGTCAAGGAAACATGCGTTTGGGGGCCCTGCCAATGCTGCCCCTTTTTAGAGATTTCATCCGAAGCAGCATGGAACCGTCAGCGATGGGAAACTACGAGCCTACCCTGCCGAACGCCGAAGGCCACAGGCCATGTGCCTCTGGCGTGCCGGCGAAGTTGATGGGTTGCTGCAGAACCCAGACCTCTGCTCATGGGATGTGGCTTTGTCTTCAAACAAGGGATCCCAAAAATGGACACCCAAAGTAGGGGACTTGTTGAACGTGCCGTACATCTGGGTGGGTCTTCAAATAGGGGAAGCCCCTCCCTTTTTTGGTTTCCCCTCTAAATCAACCCCGGAAAAAATGGTCCCACGCAGAACCAACACGATTCTACGGCTGTGACTTCTTCCATTCCCAACAGCCATCATTTGGATCTCGAAGCCCACATATGCCCAAATTTGCGGATACGTCAGTGGCTCCAGCTGCAATCTGGGAAACTCGCTACGAGTTTGAAACTCGTTTGGGCCTCCCGCTGGCCAAGGGTCCCAACGGTACTTTCGACCTGTCAGACCAAAGGGAAACTCCACGAAATGGATGCGCTGGTGATGTTGAATCCAAAAAAAATGGACATGAACATTTGTCAAAGGGATTCAGACCCCTACCACTTGCAAGTCTTTCCGTTCGAATCAACCCCACAAAGAGCCCCCCTTTAAAACATATACTATATATAAATATGTAGGCAATCCGCCCCGGCCGCTTTTGCGCTGCATTCTTTTGAGCTTTGCACGCGCACGTGTGGAAGTGCCTACAGCTCCGCGCAGGCGTGCAGGTGCCCAGATGCCGCATTGGCCCGAACGGCGCCCTGTAGGGCTCCAATTCGCTTCCCGAGAGTTGTGCTGTGCAAATAAAGGGTGCCACTGCGTTGGGGTACTCAACATTGGTGTTTTTTTGTTTTTGCCCCCTCCAGGGGGTAGGGTTCTCACTCAGGGGGCCCGATCTGCATTGAACTGGGCATGGATGAATACTCTCGCCCCATTAAAATTTACATGCCCCTGGTTCTGTTTAATGCATGAAGAAAATCCCGCCCCCAGGAGGCTCCTCCCAAATGTGGCAAAGGCCCAAGTAAGGTTCTGGTAGGGTGGGAATTGCCCTCACCCTGCGATACCATGGGAAGACCTTCCCAATGACGAATTCTTCACTTGGGCATGGTTCCTTGGTATTACAAAGTCGGGATCGATGCCCTCATTCCAAGGTTGCTTCCGCAAAATGCGTTCAAGTGCTGCTGGGAAGCGACGCCACGAGCAAACAGAACGGTGGCAAGTCGAGTCGCTTTAAAACGTGGATTTGTTCCAAAGCGTTGGCAATCAACACGATGGGTGTTATTAAATTGTGTTGCCCATCCAAAATTAAGGGTACCCTCAAAGACACCCCACCGAAAACCCTCGGCCTGTGGAAAATAAGCGGCCGCTGCACTGATTCAGTGCGCAGGGCGATGGCGAAGCTAAATGCCGAGCCGGCAGCGGGGAGACTAAGAACTTCGGCAGATGAGACGAAAGTGGATGATAGCCATGACGCCGTGGATGTACGAAATCCTGCCCGGCGTAAGAACCCTGGAATGATGATCCCCCGCGAAAACACCAACCAACACTGGTGTCCCATGTTTTCAAGCTGGCGCGAACGGATTTGGTTCATCCACAGCAGGGTCAAAAATAGTCGTCCAAAGGCTACAACCCTCTGGTCCTCGGCGGTTCTGCCGAAAAAGCCGTGGGTTTCGGTGCCGTACGAAGCTACTTCGCCAAAGCCAACTTTGACAACGCGCAACACCTGCCTTCTCTGCCCGAATCCTCCGGAATTACATGCCAATCCATTCCCGCGCGGTCTCCGCACGGCAAAAGCCTTCCGGAGCCACGGTCAAGTGGGCCACCAGATACCTCAACCCCCTTGACAACAGCGATCAGCCTATCCGGGTACGACACGCCTATCCCAAGCAACTCTTCATTGGAATTGCCCTGACACGGGTATCAACCTTGACCGTCGCCCTTGTTAAAATGGACCGAGCCTGGTCCTTCTGTCCTTCCCCTTTGCGCGGTACCGCCATGGTTTCCACCGACGCCGCGCGGGCCAAATCCGCCATGTGTTTGCTTCACCGCTCGTCCCAGTCAGGCTCACCCACCGGCACCACCTGTGCGTTTCCGCGTGCAAATTTGGACCAACCTCGAAAGGTTGGCTTCTACAGGATGGAATCTCCATTGTGTCCTTAGGAGTTTCAAATCGCCCACCTGACGCCGAACAATACCACCAAACTCGTCTCCCAGCCAGAAACAAAAGTCGTCTTCGGGCTTCCGGTGAAAAACCCAAGCAGAGTGGCCCCCCGCCAAGCATAGCAACGAAACAACTGTTTGCTTTTGCTCCGCCTTGCAAACGCCGTCCTACTCTAAAACCGCGGAACATAAGCTTCAACCAGCTTCTGGATCCCCAAAAAACCATATTTTCCCCCCTTGGCATCTCGGCTGGACCCCACCTGCAGCCGCAGCAGCAGTGTCTTGGACCACCGGCTCTCGTTGCGCCACGTCAGGCGGAACTCCGCGGTTTGCGCCGCGGCCAAAGCGCCGGGCGCTTCCGCGATGCCTCGAAGGTGCCCCCAAAGGCGAAAGGGCGGGCCCGAGCAACGGTTGACCAGCTCAAAGAGGTTCCAAAACATACCCCCCCCCAAAAAAAAAAAAAAAAAAACACCGCCTAGGGTTCCTGTCGGCAGGCCTGGATCTTCGCACTTGAATGCCAAAAGTTGAAGCCACAGAACACTAAAGCGGTACAAACGGATGAAGTGTGCAAAAGTGCTATGGGCCGTTGCCTGCCGGAAATAAGAACCCCAGGAGAGAGGGGAGTTTGGCCAAATCAAAGGGCAAATCGCAGCCCACGCTTGTTTTGATTGCTGGCGGCAAAAACCCTTTGGTGACCCAAGGATCTTGCGGATTGCCCTTGAACAGCAGCCAGTTTTTGCAGGTTTAAAGTGACCATGTCTGGGAGGCCCCCCCGCATGTGGTGGTTGAAGTGGCCCAGGTCTTCTTGTTTTCTCCGGCTGAAGCAGGAAGACTACCTACCGCAAGAAAGTTTCCCAACTGTCTGATTAATATCTGAATCATCTTCTCCGAGGAGGTGGCAGGGCTATGTTGCCAATCTTTCGGAATGCGTGCCACATGCGCCCTGGGATGTTATGCACAACCGGCCAAGCTGACAAGGCCCGGGTGTTTTGTGAGGTGGACGCCCCCAATCTCCACCCGAGAGCCGGAAAGAAGCCAAGCGGCCGCAAACTGGCTCCTCCTGGGCGGAGGCATCCAATCTTATTTGTTATGATCACCCTCTGCCCCCCATTTAGCCCTCAAGTCCTGTCTCCAACCAGCAAGCCGTCCCAATGTGTTGGGCATCCAACGTGACGCATTGCCGGCAAAAGGGACCACGACAAATAGACCACAGTTGGAAACCAAAAGGATCAAAGGGCTACAACTAAAACAAGGACAAATGGAATATTACCCTCTTTCAGGTCCCACGTTTGCTTCCCTCCAATTCTCACAGAATGATCTAAAAAGATAAAGCCGATGAATGGAGAAACATATCGGCGATCCCCTCCTCCATCCGACAAAAGGGAATCATACATACAAACATATACATTCATGTACACCTAGAAGTTGGTGTTGGAGTGGAAACAAACAATGTACATAGATATCTAATTGTATACATATGTATACATCTACATATGTTTATATATATATATATACACATCTATCTACACATGTGCATATGTAGATGCAAATGCATGTTGTGGTTGGTTTTCAGTGGAGACACACACACAAACAAAGTGGTTCAGCCTCAACCCCTGCGCCTTCGGCTGCCAAAAAAAAAAGCCACAGATCTAAGCACCACCAAGGCTACCTGGCCATGGGTCAAACCCCCTTCCCCCCAGTGAACATCCCAATCCCCACTAAAATAAAACCAGAATGGGTGATGAGTTCACCGAAAACCCCAAAATGGGACCCCAGTGGTTTTCAACCACCAGCCGCCCGTCGCCCTACATACGACCGCCGGTCTCCTCAGAGTCCACGAAGTTCCGCTCCTCCCGCGCCAGCGCCTCCCACTCGCAGCCGGA